ATGATTGTAATGCTCCAAGTAGTCAAGGTGAGGTCCAAGTTCAAAGCAATGCAAAGGAATTGTTTCTGTCCAAATCATTCCTTACTCCTTTGCACGGTTTTGGTCCGAAAGATTTTACAAGTGGTTACACTTCACTTAGTGTAATTAACCTTGTAGAAGGTATCTAGCAAGTGACGGTTTTCCAAGCTCCAAGTGCAACGGTTACAAGCTGATTGAAGAGGAGTGATTCATGGCACTTGTTGGGCGTGAATTATGGAGTTTGTTGGCTGAACATTGTGCACCTCATTATTTGGGGGTTATGAAGAATAAAGAGGCGTGAATCAAGGCATTAAAATGGGGGTTACACAAGCTTGAAAATGGCTGTTTTGGGCGTGTGCTGAAGAGGCTCTTTGGATGCTATTTTGGCTGGTCATCTTCCCTTGTTTCAAGCCTAGTCTTTAGTTCTTTTAATTAAGTTTAATCATGTTTGTAAAAGGGGTTAAGTGGGGCTCTTTGGATGCTATTTTGGCTGGTCATCTTCCCTTGTTTCAAGCCTAGTCTTTAGTTCTTTTAATTAAGTTTAATCATGTTTGTAAAAGGGGTTAAGTGGGACGTGTAATCTCCACTCATTCCCTTAGTTAATTTCCTTTTGTCTATTTCATTTTGTTAATTAAAGTAGGCAAGTGAAAAGGTTGTATTGATGCTATAAATAGCATACTTTGAATGAATGAAAATCATCCAAGATTATTTGCCTAAAAAACGTGTGTTTTGTTAATTGAAGTGACTTGAGTTTAGCTCACTTTGTTTTCCAAATTTGAGTATCCGAATTTGAAGAGTGTTAGTTTTGGTGAGAGTTCCCAAAATTAGGGCTTATAGTTTATGATTTGGTGAGAGTTCCCTCATCTAAACTATCCCAAGCAAACGAGTGAGAGTTCCTCTTTGCTATATCCTTAGCTTAGGGTGAGAGTTCCCCTAACTAAACTGATTACTTGACAATTGAACTTTAAAACCCTTTGAATCTCTTAACTTATCATTTCTTGTAACAAGGTTTCTCATCTTGTTTACACATCACTATCCTTCTTAGTGATCAGAACGTCTGGGAAGGAGGAACTTCCTGCCTGATCATCATCATCATCATTGTCCATATTTCGAAGATGGCTCTTGGTGCCCTGGATGGTAGGGGCACCGCATGAGAACCCACCTGCTATTGTGTAGACCGACTCCTTATTAGTGTCCGAACTACTAGCATGATGGGGTGTCTTAGACGACTGCCCCGAGTTCTTCTTATTAGTCCCTTTGGACATAGAAATATAGGACTTTAAAATCCCCTTGTTAGCCAACCGGTCCAATGCCCGTTGAAGGCTTAAGCAGTCATTGGTGTCATGGCCAACCTCCTCATGGTATTGGCAGAATTTATTTTTGTACCTTGATTGAATGGAACTTTTCATTGGATTTGGCTTCTCTAGAGACAACCGGTCCGTGATCTCAATGAGGATGGAGTTGCAGTCCTTGTTGAACTCGTACCTAGAAACGTACGGTTTAAATTCCTTCTTCTTCTTCTGAGATGGCAAGTCAGAATCACTAACTGCCCAGACTTCTTTCCACTTCTTTCTCTCTTCGTTTTTCTTGGCCGGCTAAGTAGGCCGGCTATCTGTCTGCCTGTCAGACTTCTTAGAGTCCGACTGGTTACCAGGCGAGCTGAGGTCGGTTGCTTGAATATAGCTTTCCGCCTCCCTTAGGGTCGCCTGACTGAAAGCCCCTTTTCTCACTAGGTCGAACTTAAAAGTCGACCCGTCTCTCAGAACCTTAAAAAAGTCTGTAAAATCTACCTCATTGAACAGTCCTTGAATCTGAATTCTGATAAGATTGAACCGCCTGACATAGGAGCGCAATACTTCTCTCTCTCCCTGCTTAATGGTGCTCAAGTCAAGACTTGTTTTCTTCGCAGGGATGTTCATCGAGAGAAGTTGGAAGCAAACAGGAAGGGAAGCTTCCTGAAACTATCGATGGACCCGGCTGGCAAGTTGGCAAACAATTGTTCGGCAATGCCCTTCAATGTAGCCGGGAAGTATCGACACCAAGTGACATCATCCAACCCCTGTAAGTACAAAAGGTTGGTGTAATATATGAGGTGATCTTCCGGGTTAGTGGTACCGTCATAGGTGCCTACCAACACATTTTTAACCTTGGCAGGCTGTGCCGCCTTGGTTAACTCCCGGGTGAACGCAGAAGGTTGTTCACCCAGGCGTAGCAGACGAAGCTGCCAGTCTAGAGGCTAGACATTGTTGTATGTCGCCTGACCTCCGAAGAGGGTCGGCTGCATGAAATGGGGAGAATACGGATTGTAGACCAGAGACGGTACATACGGTGCAGTCCCAATCAGCCAAGGACCAGAATGGACGGTATTACCGCCTGTATGGCTCTCATGCAAGGAAGGTATATTCCCTGCAGATGTGTTCTTGAAGCTGTCTGGAAAGCTCGATGTAGAAGCTGACTCAGACATCTACTTGTTTCTCTTGCGGGTGATAATTTCCCGGGCGTCAAGAGTTGATTTTTTGTTTCCCACCGGCTGTTCAGTCCGGCGGGAATTGTGGTATTCCTCTTAGGCAGAAGAATCTTGGACCAATCAATGGTCTCGGCTGCCTTCTCCATTTGATGAGGAGTTGGCTGCCGATCTCTGACTGACTTCCCCTTCTCTAGAGGAGTCTTTTTTGCCGACTGACCCCTGCTTGGGCCAGCCCTACTCTTCGTGATCAGATCTTTATTTTACCTTTAAAACTTGTCATGAACTTCATGAGTTTGTCTCGGGCGACGGGAGCTGATCCGCTGGCCGTATGGGTTTCCCCTTTCGGCTGTCAAGGGGGTCGTTTTGTACCTGCCTGGCTGGCACCTTGCTCCAAAGTATCTCTGGGGCGGATGCGCTTAGTTATTAGGGAGCCATCACTGGCTATATAAGTTTCAACCTGAGGATCATCATCCTCTTGGTTAGTGAAGACTTCCGGTTCGTCGACCGGACGCTCAGGAGGTGGCACAGACTCTTGAACCATCCTTGAGGTACTCTCGCCACAGACAACGCCAAATGTTTTGGATGTTTTTGTCCCTTGGGAGAGTTACATCACAAAGATTGGTCCGACTGAGCTGTACCTGCAAAAACAACGGAGACCCCGGGTGGTGGAGCTCCGCCTCCGACGATCAAGTTAGTAACTTAAAGAAGAATAAAGAGTGCGGAAATTTAGGTGGGTATCTGCTTGGATTCCAAGCTGAGGTGTTTCTCTGATGAGAGTGAAAGTAGGAGTAATAAATGATTGAATCTCTCCCCAAAATGGGGAAATATCTCCCTATTTATAGAGTCATTGGTAGGTGTGCCCATATCTAGGTCACTTGACCTAGATTTTAGTGGGCTGCGCCGTTTTACGCCGCTTCTTGGGATTTGGGCCCTTGAAGGGGCCACGTGTCAAGAGGGTATTGGGCCACTTGGGCCATCCTGAACTCGCCACGTGGCCTCCTCTCATTGGTCCACATGTCCACGGTATTTTTACCCTAAATACTCCCCAGACTCAACACCAAAAACATACTTTTTGGGATTTAACATGACCTTATGCCGCTTGAGTGTGGTGAAGGCGGATATCAGCAAGGTGATCCGTCTGTAGCTTGGATTTGACTATCATGTCATCAATTATGCCTCTACATTTCTTTCAATCTAATTAATGAATACTTTATTAATCATCCGTTAGAAAGTAGCCGGCGCATTCTTCAAGCCAAATGACATCACAGTATAACATAATAACCCCTGATCAATGACGAAGGCCGTCTTCTCTTGATCTTTTTTCCACAGGGGTATCTGATGGAAGCTCGAGTAGGCATCCATAAAACTCATCAAGGCATGACCGGCTATAGAATCGACCAGACTGTCGATCTTTGGAAGCGGATAATTGTCCTGCAAGAATGCCTTGCTGTGGTCTGTGTAGTCAACACACATACGCCAGGTACCATTCGGCTTCTTTACCAGAACAACATTCGCAACCTTGTTAGGGAAGTTACATGGCCGAATGAACCCACCGTTAAGCAGCTTTTTTACCTCGGCAGCTGCCGCGTGACTTCTCTCCTCACCGTGATTTCTTTTCTTTTGCCGAATAGGCTTCTTTTTTGGATCCACGACAAGTTTGTGGATAGCGAGATCCGGGCTGATGCCTGGCATCTCCTCCACTTCAAAGGAAAAGATGTCTTTGAATTCTTTTAGTAAAAGGTGCAAGTGTGCACTAAGCCTTTCAAAGGCAGTCATCCCCACCTTAACAGTCCGCTCAGGACGGCTGTCGTCCAGAGAGATATTGATGTAAAAACTAATAGATGAAATTAGTTTAAACAAGTTAATGGATCAAACTTAAGCAAAAGATTGAGAGAAAGGTTGGTGTTTAGGTACGGTTTTGTAGGATTTTAGGTGGGTTTTGGGGTTGGAAAGTGGCGGGGCTATTTGAGGGAAATTAGGAATGGAAAGGTTTAGGTTTGTAAGGATTACTCACTTAACAAACAAGGATATGAAGGCAAGGATTTCTCACTCAACCTACTAAGTTCAAATTGTGTGGAAGGATTACTCACTTGACCACTCAATCTCTTCAAGTCTAACTTGGTACAAAAACCGGTTATTTTACAAACAAATAATCAGTTTTTAAGTTCAAGCAAAAGCTCTTTTTTTTCATTGATCAAAATCTGATTACAAACTATAATTACATGCCTTTTATAAGCAAAAACGAAACCAACAATCATTGCCTATCCTAATGAAGCAAAAGACTGATTTATTATAACTAGACAAAGAAGCTAAACTTAAGCCTAGAATTACGCCCACATGAGGCAGCCTTTTAGGCTTCACATTCCCCTTAACTTCCTTCATTAACCTGATTTAAATTAGCAAAGAAAACAGCTACAAGAATTCAGCAAAACCGTTGGGGTAACACTTGTAACCCCCCTTGATTCACGCCTCCTTCATTTATTCTTGTAATGAAGCTTCCCCTTGAACTTCTCTTCTACCCACGGCACTCCAAATGACCAAGGTTGTTCCTATGCTTCAATAAATTCGTGTAATGAACATTCAAGCAAGTAAAACCGTGATTATTGACACCAAAAGGACCATGGGCAGCAAAGGTATCCAATGCTTGATTTTCAAAAGATTTCGCAAGGATAATCTCCTTGGGAAAACCGTGACTTGGACTTGTAGGATGATTATGATTGTTTTGATTAATGGAACCTTCGTGATTTGCATCATCCTCCCCTTCTTCGAAAGGAGTTGGCCTCAACTCGTCATCCTCTAAATATGGGGCTAAGTCACCAACATTGAAAGTTGATGAGACTCCAAATTGCCCTCCAAGATCAACCTTGTAGGCATTGTCATTGATTCTCTCCATGATTTGATAAGGTCCTTCTGCCCTAGGCATCAATTTGTGTTTCCTTTGCTTAGAAAACCTTTCTTTTCGAAGAAAAATCCAAACAAGGTCACCCACTTCGAACTTCTTCACGTTGCTCAAGTACTTGTTTGCTTGCTTTTTGTAGGACTCATTTGCCTTTTCAATATTCTTTCGAACTTCCTTATGAACATCAATCATGAACTCAATATGTTCCTTGGCTGTCCCATGCACAAATTTGTCCTTAGCAAGGGCAATGTAATCAATGGGCACATAAGGATTCACCCCATAAACAATTTCGAATGGTGAGTATTTCGTGGTTTTGCTTGGAGTTCTATTGTAAGCAAATTCAGCATGAGATAGCTTTAGGTCCCAATTTTTCCCTCCTTTGTTCACTAAGGCACGAAGCAAGGTTCCAAGGACTCTATTCACCACCTCAGTTTGACCATCCGTTTGTGGATGATGGCTAGTTGAGAAAAGTAGCTTGGTACCCACGAGCCTCCATAATGACTTCCAAAAATGGCTCACAAACTTTGTATCACGATCTGAAACAATGGTTCTAGGAAAACCATGTAACTTAGCCACCTCCTTGAAAAAAAGTTGAGCCACGTTATAAGCATCATCCACTTTTTTACAAGCAATGAAATGGGCCATCTTCGAAAACCGATCAACAACCACCATGATTGAATCTTTTCCACGAGCTTTTCTAGGCAAGGCCATGATGAAATCCATACTCAAATCATCCCAAGGTCTTTTGGGAATTGGCAAAGGCTTGTATTCACCTCTATGAAAAGTCATTTTAGCCCTTTGACAAGTAGAACATCTAGCTAGGATTTGGTGCACGTTAGCTAGCATCTTAGGCCAATAAAAGTGACTTTGCAAGATCTCTAGGGTCTTTTGAATACCCATATGACCAGCAAGGCCCCCTCCATGAGCTTCCCTTATCAATAAGTCACGAATTGCCCCTTTAGGAACACAAAGTTTGTTTCCTTTGAAAATAAAACCGTCCACCATCACAAATTGACCATTTACTCCATGTTTGCAAGCCTCAATGATTTCCATAAGTTCATGGTCATCTTTGTAAGCTTCTTTCATAATTTCAAAACCAAGGACCTTAGCCTCCATGATTCCAAGAAGAGTATGCCTCCTTGACAATGCATCAGCCACAATGTTGGCTTTCCCTTGCTTATATTTTGTAGCAAAGTTGAATGATTGCAAGAATTCTACCCACTTAGCATGCCTAGCATTCAATTTTTTTTGGCCATGTATGAACCTCAAAGATTCATGATCAGAATGCAAAATGAATGGTTGTGGTCTCAAATAATGTGACCAATGGTCTAAGGCTCGAACCATGGCATAAAATTCTTTGTCATAAGTGGAATAGTTCAATTTTCCTTGGCTCAACTTCTCACTAAAGTAGGCAATGGTTTTTTTTTTCTTGGATTAGGACAGCCCCTATTCCCTTCCCACTTGCATCACACTCAACTTCAAAGGGTTTCATGAAATCAGGTAAGGCTAAAACAGGTGCCTCACACATCTTTTTTTTCACTAACTCAAACGCCTCTTGGGCTTGAGAAGTCCATTGAAAGTTCCCTCTTTTTGTACACTCGGTGATAGGAGCCATGAGGGTACTAAAGTTCTTAATGAACCTCCTATAGAAAGAGGTTAGTCCATGAAATGAACGAACTTCTGTTATGGTTTTTGGGATAGGCCACGAAGCAATGGCTTCTATTTTGCTTGGATCCACCTTGATTCCATCACCTGAAACAATGTAACCAAGAAAAACAATTTCTGTTAGCAAAAAATGACACTTCTCCAACTTCCCATACAATTTTTTCTCCCTCAAAGTTCCAAAGATTTCTTCCAAGTTCCTCAAATGATCTTCCTCATTTGTACTATAGATGAGAATATCATCTAAGTAAACAACTACAAACCTCCCCAAAAAAGGTCTCAACATCTCATTCATAAGTCTCATGAAAGTACTTGGGGCATTTGTTAAACCAAATGGCATAACAAGCCATTCATACAACCCATGCTTGGTTTTAAAAGCTGTTTTCCACTCATCACCCTCCCTCATACGAATTTGGTGATACCCACTTCTCAAATCAATTTTTGAAAACACTCTAGCCCCACTCAATTCATCCAACATATCGTCAAGCCTAGGTATGGGAAACCTATACTTAATGGTTATATTGTTCACAGCCCTACTATCAATACACATCCTCCATGTTCCATCTTTTTTAGGCACTAACAAAGTAGGAACAGCACAAGGACTCATAGACTCCCTCACATAACCCATTTGTATCAACTCCTCAATTTGTTTTTGCAACTCTTTGGTTTCCATGGGGTTACATCTATAAGGTGGTTTGTTAGGAAGGGGTGCTCCCGGAATTAGGTCAATTTGATGTTCAATCCCACGAATGGGAGGTAATCCTAAAGGCAACTCATTAGGGAAAACATCCTCATAAGCTTTGACTAATTCGGCCAAACTAGGGTTTTGTTGAACAAACCCTTCATGCTCCTCCTTACTCAACAACAAAAACACCTCATCTTCCTTCTCTAAAGACTTTTCAAATTCTTTAAAAGAAAGTAACAAAATTTCTTTTCTTTTGGGCTCTTTTTGTGGTGTTTGTGGTGGTGGAAATTTTGTTTGGGAAATCGTTTTTTGTGGTGGTAAGGGATGCAACACTTTCTTGCTGCCTTGGTGGGTGATAGTATAAGTATTGGATAGACCATCATGGACTGATTTTCGATCACTTTGCCATGGTCTACCTAACAAAATGTGACAAGCATTCATAGGGATGACATCACACAAAATTTCATCAACATAAGAACCAATCTGAAATTTTACTAAGCATTGTCTCCTAACTCCCCTACTCTTACTTTTATCAAGCCAACTTAATTTGTAAGGGGTAGGATATCTAGTGGTTTTTAAATCAAGCTTTTTAACAAGGTCACTTGACACAACATTTGCTTCACTACCACTATCGACAATTAAGTCACAAACATCTCCATTAACCTTGCATTTGGTTAAAAAGACATTCTCTCTTTGCAAAGGGTTTCTTTCAACCTCAACTTGCATTTGTAAAGCTCTCCTCAAGACTAGGCTGTTTTTTTCGGGGAAACAATCATCACCTTGTTCCTCCTCTTCATTAGAATCATAAGATTCCAAAGGGTCATTTTCAACAACATTTTCATCCTCTAACTCCTCATCTAGGCTAAAAGGTTGAGCCATCATATTTTTTAGCTCTCTCATGGTTAAAGCTCTAGTATTAGGACAATCCCTCTTATAGTGTCCTCTTCCATGACACTTAAAACACACTATGTCACTCAAGTCCCCGGTTTTGGCAACAGCTTTGCCTTTTTCTTTTGGGTCAAAGGAACTTGGGTTTCTTTTGGTGGAATTTGGGAAAGAAGAGTTTTCTTTTGGTGGATTGAAAAGGCGTTTGTATTTTGGCTCAAATGGATTAGATGGCTTTTTCTTTTTCTTTTGATTATCAAACTTAACAGAAAGTTTGCAAGCTTCATCAAAAGTCAAATTGGGTTGCACTTCTATCTTTTCAAGGATCTCCTTATCTAGACCAGCCATAAACCTCCCTAGTTTCAAATCCTCATTTTCCACTACTTCACAAATAATGGACAATTTTTCAAACTCTTTTATGTACTCCTCCACACTACTACTACCTTGTTGCAAGGTACTCCATTTAACATACATGGATTGTTTGTAATTAGAAGGCACAAAACGTCCCCTAAGTTTCTTCCTAAGCTTGGTCCATGTAGAAATACGAGTTTTCTCATTGCTTTCTCGTTTTCTTTGGACTCCTTTCAACCAAGTTTCAGCATACTTGGCTATCTTTACCTTAGCAATCTTGTACTTTTGTTCATCTTCCTCAACGTCTTTGAACTCAAAGTACCTCTCAAGTGATTGCTCCCACTCCAAGTACTTCATAGGGTCAAGAGTACCATCAAAAAGGTCTACATCAACCTTTAGACTCTTGTCATCATATCTAGGAGGGTTTTGACGCCCATCCCTTTGTTCTTGTGTCAACAAACGAGCCATTAGAGCCATTATATTACCATGTAATTGCTCATTGGTTTCTAATAGTCTTTGTTGGTTTTCCTCCATCATTCTAATTCTCCTTTGATCAGGGGTTTCATTTGGGTTTGCTTGATCCATTTGGACAGAAAATTCCCCCTACCTGACGCGCCAAATGATGTAAAAACTAATAGATGAAATTAGTTTAAACAAGTTAATGGATCAAACTTAAGCAAAATATTGAGAGAAAGGTTGGTGTTTAGGTATGGTTTTGTAGGATTTTAGGTGGGTTTTGGGGTTGGAAAGTGGCGGGGCTATTTGAGGGAAATTAGGAATGGAAAGGTTTAGGTTTGTAAGGATTACTCACTTAACAAACAAGGATATGAAGGCAAGGATTTCTCACTCAACCTACTAAGTTCAAATTGTGTGGAAGGATTACTCACTTGACCACTCAATCTCTTCAAGTCTAACTTGGTACAAAAACCGGTTATTTCACAAACAAATAATCAGTTTTTAAGTTCAAGCAAAAGCTCTTTTTTTTATTGATCAAAATCTGATTACAAACTATAATTACATGCCTTTTATAAGCAAAAACAAAACCAACAATCATTGCCTATCCTAATGAAGCAAAAGACTGATTTATTATAACTAGACAAAGAAGCTAAACTTAAGCCTAGAATTACGCCCACATGAGGCAGCCTTTTAGGCTTCACATTCCCCTTAACTTCCTTCATTAACCTGATTTAAATTAGCAAAGAAAACAGCTACAAGAATTCAGCAAAACCGTTGGGGTAACACTTGTAACCCCCCCTTGATTCACGCCTCCTTCATTTATTCTTGTAATGTAGCTTCCCCTTGAACTTCTCTTCTACCCACGGCACTCCAAATGACCAAGGTTGTTCCTATGCTTCAATAAATTCGTGTAATGAACATTCAAGCAAGTAAAACCGTGATTATTGACACCAAAAGGACCATGGGCAGCAAAGGTATCCAGTGCTTGATTTTCAAAAGATTTCGCAAGGATAATCTCCTTGGGAAAACCGTGACTTGGACTTGTAGGATGATTATGATTGTTTTGATTAATGGAACCTTCGTGATTTGCATCAGATATCAATGTGCTCACCAGCCAGGTGGGGACAAAGATCATCTGACCATTCCCCGGTTAGTGATTGCTATTTCTTTTCCTTCTTCACCTCCACCAGCTTTTCAGCTTCTCTTTTCTTGGCGGCTGCTGTAGGGGGTGAATCAAGATCCTTGACATCGTCAAGGTCTATTGGCTCCTTCAGCTGACCGGCTGTAGAAGCAGTTGGCTTGACGTTTGAGAGATAGCACTCTCTTGCTGTCTTCTGATCCCCGTTTAAGGAGCCAACAGTGCTATCATCCCTTTCAAATATGAGGAGCATGAAGGCTGGGATGATGACGGCCTTACACTCGTTTAGAGTGGGTCGACCAAGGATGATGTTGTAGGCGGTTAACTCCTTAACCACCAAGAACCGGACGACCATGTGTCGCCCTTGTCCCTTCTCCCCCATCCGGATTGGAATGTCAATCTGTCCGACTGGGTGTACGACTCCTCCCCCAAAGCCAACTAATGGGTGGAGACATCGCGCAAACCGTTCCGCTTGTGATTAAGCCAGGACAAACACTTGTAGCTGATGAGATCAGAAGAGCTATTTGTGTCTATGAGAATCTGGCCAACCAGGTGGTTGGCAACCATGCATTCAATGACGACTGGATTGTCATACGGTCGACAAACCTTGCCCCGATCCTTCTCAGTGATGAGGACGTATGGGAATGTCCCGCTTGAGGACGACTGTCCATTATTGATTGAATAAATCATCCACTTTAGATGATCCTTGGTGCCCCGAATGGTCGGGCCACCGCTTGCCAATCCGCCTACTATGGTGTAGACTGGATCCTTATTGGTATCCGAACTACTAGTAGGCTGGACAGTTTTTGATGACTGTCCCGGATTCGTCTTAAAAGCAGCTTTGGACTTCAAGACATAGGACTTAAGCAAGCCCTTGCCGGCCAGACGGTCCAACGTCCGCTTAAGACTATAGCAGTTGTTGGTGTCATGGCCCACTTCCTAATGGAAAAGACAAAATTTATTCTTGTTCCGCGACTGAACAGAACTTTTCATAGGATTCGTCTTCGCAATACTCAGTTTCTCCGTCACCTCTGTAAAGATGATGTAACAGTCTTTATTGAATTCATACCGCAAAACATACGGTTTGAATTCTTTCTTTTTCTTTTTGAACGACTTATCAGGTTCCTCAACCGCCCAAACTTCTATTCTCTTTTTGCTCTCTTCAGCTTTCTAAGCCGGCTGACCAGACCGACTCTCTTTTTGCTTGTTGAACATCTTTGAGTCCGACTGGTGGCTAGACGAGCACAGGTCGGTAGCTTGAATAAAGCTTTCCGCCTCTATCAACGCCTCATGAAGGGTGAAAACCCTCTTACGAACAAGGTCGAACTTAAAATTCGACCCGTCCTTCAGACCCTTGAAGAAGTCTGTATAGGTTACCTCGTCAGACAGCCCCCGAATTTTAATTCTCACCAGGTTGAACCACCTAACATAGGAGCGGAGCCCTTCTCTATCTCCTAGCCGGATGGTGCTCAAGTCAAGACTTGTCTTTTTTGCAGGGATGTTCATCGAGAAGTTGGAGGTAAACAAGAAAGCAAGCTTCCTAACACTGTCAATGCAACCGGCTGGCAGATTGTCAAACCATTGTTAGATGATGTCCTTCAATGTAGACGGGAAACACCGGTGTTTTGGGTATTTATACCCGGCCAAGTGGCCCAATCAGAACCTGACACATATCACTGGAAGGGGCGCAACCTTGGACCTTCCAGATGGTGACACGTGTCAGGAAGATACAACCCTGATTTAGGGTATTTGATGATCCCAAGTGGACCAATGAGAGAGCGACACGTGTCGCCCTAAGAGACGCCCAAATGGCCTCTGAGGATGTGCGACACGTTTCACTCAGATATCACCTCTGAAATGGCGGCCTTCAAAGGCCCAAACTTTAAGGCGCCGCAAAACGGCGTGCCCTTATCCTTAGGTCATCAAACCCTTGGGAGGGCACACTTCCCCAAAAGACCCTATAAATAGGGACAATCCCCTCATTTATTGAGCAGGTAATCAATCAACCTAGGACATCACATCCACATTTATAACAGAGCTGTCGTTCTCAAGAAACAAACAGCACAATACCGGTGGTCCGTTTGTTTTGCAGGTACAGGCGACCTTGTAGAGTCCAGTCTAGAGTTGTAACTTTCCTGAGGAACACAAAACACCCCGAAACATTTTGCGCCGTCTGTGGCGAGAGTACCTCTAAGATGGCTTCTCAAGATAATCCTGTGCCGCCTCCAGACAACAACCGACCTCTAGAAGAAATGCAGGTCCAGACGGACCATGACTCAAGTGACTTACATTTAATTCAAAAAGCTTTGTTTAAATGTGTTTGACTTTCATTTGATTCAAAATCTTTGTTTGAATGTGTTTGACTTTCATTTTATTCAATTAGCTTCTTTAAATGCATTCGACACTCTTTTGATTTAAAAAGCTTTGTTTGAATGTTTTTTACTTTAATATTATTCCAAAAGATTTTTTTGAATGTGTTTGACTTTTATTTTATTCAATCGGCTTCGTTGAATGCAATTGACTCTCATTTGATTCAAAAAGCTTTGTTTGAATATGTTTGATTTTCATTTGATTCAAAATGATTTGTTTGAATATGTTTGACTTTTATTTGATTCAAAATGCTTTGTTTTAATGTGTTTGACTTTCATTTAATTCAATTAGCTTTGTTAAACGCATTTGACTTTCGTTTGATTCAAAAAGCTTTGTTTCAATGTGTTTGACTTTCATTTGATTCAAAAGCTTTGTTTGAAAAAATTTTAGACTTTCATTTGATTCAATTAGCTTCGTTCAATGCATTTTACTTTAATTCGATTCAAAAAAATTTGTTTGAATGTGTTTTACTTTCATTTGATTCAAAATGATTTGTTAGAATGTGTTTGACTTTCATTTGATTCAATTAGCTTTGTTGAATGCATTTGACTTTCATTAAATTCAAAAAGCTTTGTTTAAATGTGTTTAATTTTCATTTAATTCAAAAAGCTTTGTTTAAATGTGTTTGACTTTCAAAAGATTCAATTAGCTTTCTTGAATTCATTTAACTTTCATTCAATTCAAAAAGTTTTGTTTTAATGTGTTTAATTTTCATTTGTTAAAAAAAGCATTGTTTAAATGTGTTTGACTTTCATTTGATTTAAAAAGATTGGTTTGAATGTGTTTGACTTTCATTTGATTTAATTATATTCGTTTCATGCATTTGATTTTCATTTGAATAAAAAAGATTTGTTTAAATGTGTTTGACTTTCATTTAATTCAAAAAGCTTTGTTTGAATGTGTTTGACTTTCATTTTATTAAATTAGCTTCGTTAAATGCATTTGACTCTCTTTCGATTCAAAAAACTTTGTTTGAATGTGTTTGAATTTCATTTTATTCAAAAAGATTTGTTTGAATGTGTTTGACTTTAATTTGATTCAAATAGCTTCGTTGAATCCGTTTCACTTTCATTCGAATTTAAAAAGACTTGTTGATGACTTGGTTCAAGCATTAGGATCTTTAACCTTTATTTAGTTCTTTAATTTTTATTTATTTATTTAGTTGCTTTAAAAATCAGTTAGCTAGCAAAATAAATCAGTTTAGGCGTGTGCTTGTTCTCCAAGGAGTTTGGTGTATGCTTGTGCGCCAAGGTGCTTGCTTTTCAAGCAAGTTAGAATTCTAGTTTAATTAGGATTGAATTAGGAAGTTGTCCTAATCTTCCTAGGTAAACTAAGTCTTATAAATAGGGCTATAAAACACACGAATAAATAGGGAGATTAATATACATTGTTCTAAATTTAAACACTTAAGTTTTGTTGATTGTGATCAATTGTTGTTTTGCTTGTTTTAGTTAAAACATTCGTTTGGATTGATTAATTAGGTGGATTCTTAATTGATTAATCTAATTTTTTGTTTAATTCTTGGTGGATTTCCTGTATAGAATTAGACTTAAATATATCCCTTGTGTTTGTTGATTTTCGGATCAATAATTCACATCATCTTTGGTATCAGAGCCAGGTTACGCAACTTCGGCAAAAATTAAACTGGGAACAATTGGCTGGGAATTGTTACGTGATTTTTTTTTTTCATTGAACTCCAAAAACTTCCAGCTATCACCATATAAAATGACAATGCTTATAAGTTAGAACTTCCGGGAGAATATGGAGTTAGTGCTAAATTCAATGTTGGCGAATCGGCTAAGTATATTCCTGATGAAGAACTTCGAGATTTGAGGACAAATTCTTTCGAAGAAGAGGAGGATGATGCAAGTCTAAGCATGGAGAACTTCGAAGGTTTGCTTATCATGCATCAAGATAGTTTATCCCTAAACATTGATTCAAGCCAAGCATTGCATGGACACTTTCTTGGATATCAAAGCAAAGCCACGGTTTGCTTAGTGGTTTTTCTTGGAGTCTAGTTCACTTTCTTGAACTTTCTTAAATTTTCTTTATTAAGATTTTGCTGACAAGTTTTTACCTTTCACTTGAAAGGGTTTTTCTTGGTTCAAGCATTAGGATCTTTAATCTTTATTTAGTTCTTTAATTTTTATTTATTTATTTAGTTGCTTTAAAAATCAATTAGCTAGCAAAATAAATCAGTTTAGGCGTGTGCTTGTTCTCCAAGGAGTTTGGTGTATGCTTGTGCGCCAAGGTGCTTGTTCTTCAAGCAAGTTAGAATTCTAGTTTAATTAGGATTGAATTAGGAACTTGTCCTAATCTTCCTAGGTAAACTAAGTCTTATAAATAGGGCTGTAAAACACACGAATAAACAGAGAGACTAATATACATTGTTTTAAGTTCAAACACTTAAGTTTTGTTGATTGTGATCAATTGTTGTTTTGCTTGTTTTAGATAAAACATTTGTTTGGATTGATTAATTAGGTGAATTCTTAATTGATTAATCTTAGTTTTTGTTTAATTCTTGGTTGATTTCCTGTATAGAATTAGACTTAAACATATCCCTTGTGTTTGTTGATTTTCGGATCAATAATTCACATCATCTTTGGTATCAGAGCCAGGTTACGCAACTTCGGCAAAAATTAAACTGGGAACAATTGGCTGGGAATTGTTACGTGATTTTTCTTTTCATTGAACTCCAAAACTTCCAGCTATCACCATATAAAATTTCATAATTTTTAGTTGAGTAACGTGTTCTACACAGCCTCAAACGTTTGGTGTTTGTGCACTGATTTGCGGTTGGGAGTCCGGTTTTTGTGTTGCCTAGTTTTCCTTTAAGATTCGATCTTTTAATCAAGATTTTTGCATGAACTGACTTGGTTTGTGTAGGAATCATGAGTGACGAGGAGGTTCCACAGGTTCCAAGGGGATTAACCTTAGAACAGGCTCAAAATCATAGAAGAGATAGGCGAATCGACGAGTTGGCAG